ACCTGTCCACAGCTAGGTGCCCCTCACCTGCCCGCCGCTAGTGCCCCTCACCTGTCCGCAGCCAAGTGCCCCTCGCCGGCAGCCCGGTGCGGCTCACTGATGTTCTCCAGCCTGGCCAGCGCGTCCATGCGCTTCACCATCAGCTCCAGCAGGTCGCTCATCTTGCGGAGGACGCCGCGGGACTCTGGCCCGCCCATCACTGTGGACAGAGCGGCGGTCAGCGAGGCCGGAGCAGCTCAGGTGGCTGCAGCCGCGGCCCTGCCCTGGGCAGCCTGCCCTGCCAGCTGGGTGCCCTGGCTGCAGGCTCCGCAGGTCTGTGAACTCCCAGGGAAGGGCGGCAGGGGCAGGGGCAGGGGCAGGGGCGGGGGCCCCACCCACCCCGCAGGCGCCGGGCAGAACCTCGGGTCGGGTCTGGGTCGGGGGTTCTAAGTGTGTCCCCGTCCCCTGCTGAGCCCGGCCGGGCTGGCAGGCCGGATGTGCCGCCTTCGCCCGCCCGCGTCTCCCGAGCGTGGGCCCGGCCTGCACGCCCTTCGTCCCCGCAGGTTTGGGGTGCGCGGAGCAGGCTGCGGGGCTCAGGCGTGTGGTCTTCTCCCAGCGTCAGGCCCAGACCACACCCCGCACCTCCAGCGCAGAAAACCACCGGCAATTTGTCCGGAATCTCAAACTGCTCCTCGAGCCCCAAGGACCCACGCCAGGGCCTCGGAGCAGGGGGCCTCGGGGAGAGCCCCCCCAACCAGCGAGGACCCAGCGCGCCCTCGGCCCGCTCCCCTCCCAGTCGCCGGGCCCTGCTCTCTGGTCGCCTCGCAGGAGGGCTTCAAACAGCCTCGGCTGCCCAGGCTGGCCAGCTCGGCCCCGGAGAGGCCTGCCGCAGGCACGCCCCACGATGCCCATCAGTGGAGACCCCTCACCTGGGGGCTGGGCTGCCTGAGGTGGGCCCCCAGAGCAAGCTGCTCTGGGGCAGGTCACGTACTGGGGTTGAAGGAAATCCTGGAAGGGAGCAGGGAGGCGCGGGAGGGGGAGGGGCGAGCCCGGGTGGGTGTGTCACCAGGCAGGTGCAGGACCCCGCGTTCTCCCTCGGGGCAGGGGAGCTGGGGCGCAGCCACGTCCCCACGTGGGCGGCTCCCAGGTGGAGGGACCCTCAGCGCAGGCAGGGCCGAGGCACCTGGGTCGCAGCCCGATGCCCGGCCCGGCTCAGCGGGCCGGGGTGTCATTGTCACTCTTGGCTCCAGTGTCCCAACCTAAGGCTCCGCCACACCCAGAGGGGCAGGGAGGCGCTGGCGTGGGCCAGGCGGAGGCGCGAGGGGCTGGTCGCCCCGCCCCAGCCTCGGGGCTCCCGCTGCACGGATGGACAGACAGACGATGGACGGACCCACGACCCTGGCTGGTGACAGGGTCCCTCAGGCCCCGCCCTGCAGGAGGCTCGTCCTGGGCCCTCTGGGCGTCAGTCTGAGCAGGAAGGGGCTGCTGGGCCCCTGGGGTGAGGCTGGGTGGGCTGGAAGAGACTCGTGGAGGAACGACTGCGACAGCCAGAGGTCTCCAGCCCCTCGGAAAACCTGGGTGGGCCGTGGACACCAGCTGCGGCCAGGGCTCTCGCCCCATTAAATGGCGCAAACCTCATCTCTCCCTCGCCAGCGCTACGCACCCCTCACGCTGGCGTCAAAGGCTCCCCCTCGGCTTCAGAGTTGGGGCAATGGTTGACTCTTGCAAAGCTCTCGCCCCTGCGCCCCCACCCCACCCTGTCCCCCGGAGGCAGCTCCCAGCCCCGCACAAGAGCAGGGGTGCCGTCTGGACCTGGGAGACGGGAGCGCGCCGGCCGGCCAGCTCTGTGCCCAGCCCCAGCCGGCAAGTGCAGGGATGACCCTTGGCACCAAGCCTCAGCCCACACAACCCCCACCGCCGAGCAGGGATGAAGGGCGACCCCCACACAACCCCCACTGCCGAGCAGGGGTAAAGGGGTGAAGGGCGCCATGAGCAGGGGTGAGGGGGTGAAGGGCGCCGTGAGCAGGGGTGAGGGGGTGAAGGGCGCCGTGAGCAGGGGTGAGGGGGTGAAGGGCGCCGTGAGCAGGGGTGAGGGGGTGAAGGGCCGCCGTTCTTCCAGCTGCTGTGCAGGCCACGAGGAGGCGAGCGGGAGCTCCGGCACGGGAAAACTCCACAAAGGCAGATCAGAGCAGCCCCGAGATCTTCAGCTATCGGGGGCTCTGGACTGCCCTTCAGCTGCGGCCGGAAGCCAGCGCTTTCAACTTGTCCGCAGAAGCAGTTCACGGCACGGGGTGGGGGCTGATGGATGAGTGGGGGCCCGCGAGTGGGAGCCCGCGGAACGCCCAGGGCCTGCAGGCGCACTCACCGCACCGGACCGAACCCCGGGGCTCCCAGCTGGGGCAGGGGCTCCCTCCCGCAGAGGGCAGAGGGCTGAGTCCCGAGCCCCTGAGAGCCGGGGAGGGGTGTGCCCTGGGCAGAGCCGGGGGCATAGCCCGCGGGGGAGGGGGGCAGCCTGGAGAGCAGGCGCCCGCCCGCCCGCCACCCCTGGAGCGCCCGCGTCACCGCTCCACGCGGCCCTCGGATCAGCTAAACTGAGACGGAGTTAAAGTGAGGCCGGGAGTCGGACTCGCCTGTGTCCCGCGTATGTCCACTCAGACAAGGAAAGCTGGGCACCGGAGGGAGGCGCGGGGCCACCTCGCGGTCACTGCGCGGCTCTGCCCCCGCCAAGGCCCTCCCTGGCGCGCTCCCTCTGGCTCTCCAGCAGCCCCACCGAGGCCGGGCGCACCGAGGCAGGGCAGAGCGGGCACGTAGCCTCTGGTATCCCGGCTTCCAGTCCTGGCAGAGAGGCCCGGCGGGCCAGTCAGGCGGCCGAGCCCGGAGCTGCAGAGGTGCGGCCGCCCCCAGACGCCTCCGCCGCCTCCCTCAGCTGCAGACCGGAGAGCAGGGCCCTGGGAGCTCGGGAAGGGGGCCGGGAGAGGCCTCCCCGAGGCAGGAGAGCCAAAGGCTCCCACCCCACGTGCCTTGTTTTCCCCGCTGCCCACCACTGACCAGAAGAGCCCCCTCCGCACGCTGGTGACTCTGCCCTGTTCTCGCCCATCCTGGGTGGGACAAGTGGCAGCAGAACCCCCTTGGGGGGTCTCCAAGCCCACCCCGCCCCATGCCACGGGGCTCGCCATCCAACCTCTGGGGACGGTCACCCCCATCCTTCTCTAGGTGCGTTGTGACTGGCCACTGGCACACAGGCGGTGGGCAATGAACAGGGGCATAGCCGTCCACTGCGGGCCAAGCACAGGCTCTGAACCCCGAGAACTGCCTCGAAAGTCTCATCACAAGGAGCGGTGAAAGTCAGGACCGTCCTGAGAGCCCAGAGACAGCGCCTTGAGCCACGGCCAGGCCTGCCTGCTGCCCACTGCCTCTGTCCGTGGCCAGAGGCACAAAATGTGCGGGTCTCAGAGAAACAGGTGTCACAGAGGCCCCCTCCCACACAGGAAGCAAGGCTGGCTGCCTCTTCTGACGCCTGGGAGAGCCCAGCTCCAAGGTCTGCCCCGGCCGAGCGTCCAGGCCTGACGAGCACAGTCAGGATGGAAGCCGGGGCGGCCAGCAATGTCCCACAGCCCAGCTAAGGCCTGCTTGGGGCCAGGGCGCCTGGGACAGGGCCCCAGGAAGCCTCCCTGTCCTCCACCCATGGCCACCAACATCAAAATACTTTCTGTGGGCCCTCCCTGGTGGCGCAGCGGGTTAAAGCGCAGCACTGAGAAGCTAAAGCCGCTTCCGCAAGAGTTTGATCCCCGCCTGCCCCCGAGGTGACCATGCGCAGACCCCCCTGGCCCGCCCGCGGCTCCCCTCAGCAGTGGACTTCCTCAATCGGCCTGTTCTGCTCCCCACTCCGTCTCCATCACCGCCCCTGCACCTCGGGCCTGTTCTGTATGCAGAAATAAATAAATCTTAAAAAAAAATTACCTTCCGTGCGGATGGTGAAGGGGGAGTCCCCAGGGCGCCGGGCCGAGAACTGGCCCCCCAGAGATGTCATCAGGAAGCAGAGAGAGAAGAAGCCGACGCCCAGCACAAACAGCCTGCGGAGAGCAAGAGGGGGTCGGCCTGGGCGCCGCGGCAGGCTCCGCGTGGTCGGCCGCTCAGGCCAGGCGTTCTCCATCCTGGAGGACAGAGCCCCAGGACAAGGGGCTGGACACAAAGCCAGGAGGGGCAAGAAAGCAGGAACGGGGCAGCTGCCGGGCGAGTTCCAGCCGTCGCCGGAGCCTGGCTCTCCCGCAGAGCCCCCGAGGGGCCAGCCCCAGGCAGCAGAACGGGCATCGCCTTGGGGGTGTCGGACATGCAAGCCCCTAGGCCCCAGCTGGGCTTACTGAACAGATGCTCTCGCAGGGGTGCGGGGGGCAGTGTGCTTGACAAGCCCCCGAGGGTCAGAGCGGTCAGACACGGACGCGCAGTCACAGCGGGACCGGCGCCAGCCGAGGGCAAGCGACTGGCCCAGACAAACCCACCTGGATCCGTCCACACCTGGGCCCCGCGCAGCACCTGTGTGCGCTGGCTCGGACAGCAGTTAGCCATGAGCCTGCCTGGACACCCCCTTATCATGCTCGGGGGTAGCCTGGGCCCCCGTTTCTGCCAGGGGCCGTCGGTCTGCTCCCGGCACTGGCCCGAGGGCGCCACGCCAGAGCCTGAGGAGTCACGGCAGGCCCACGACACCTGTCCCTCAGCACGCGCCGCGGTGGGCACGGCCAGGCGCAAGGCAGCCCTCCGGGCAAGCAGGGAGGAGGGCACAGAACCCACCCTCGGTCCAGCCGGCGTCTGCTGCCCCCATACCAGAACTCGCGCCCCCAAAGGGGTGGCCGGAGGGGGCGCTGGCCTGGGACCTCCCCTGTGTCAGAGACTTGATGATGAGAGCTGAGCGTGAGTCGCCCCCCTCCCCGCCATGAGGAAGTCTGTCGCTCCTGGAGTCAGGCTCACCACAGGGAGCCCCACAATTCACGCCTGAGACTCCAGCCCCCCCCAGCAGCACCCCCTTCCACAAACCCCACACTCCACACTCGTTTGTATCTCTATGCAAGACTTGCTTTATGCATCCTGATCTTCGTTATCCCAGACTGGCCGGAGCCGTATTTAATTAAAATTTGGTCCATTAAAGAAAACACATAATTGCAGAAGAAAGCAAAAGCACCACAAAATGCTCAGCCCATATTTAAAGGGAGCTGTTAGCGATTAAGTCAGAGTGGGAGAACCCAAAAGCAGAGCGCTGTGGGGCTCCCCCAAGATGACAGGGGCAGGCGAGACAGCATGAGGCCTGCTTACCCCCACCCTCTTGGGGCCCCTCTCCACCTCTACTAGGCCTGGGGGTGTGTCTCAGGCCCCAAGATGAAGTCAGGCTGGCTCAAGACAGCAGCCAGAGGGTCAGTGGGGGGCGGGGGGGATGCCACATGCCCAGGAAGATGCTGGGGAATCAGCTCTTCAGCCGCCCTCCAGTCTGAGGCGCAGACACCTGAGCCTCAGCACAGGTCTGTCTCTGCAGCGCTCATCTGGGTCCTTGGCCGGGGTGCAAGTTAACAGGGTTCGCCCTGCATGGGCTCAAGCCACATTCCAGGAGCAGCTGCAGGACAGGGCCCCTGCCAGAGGCTCTGGGAAACTAGAAGGGGTGGGGCCCTCTGTCTGTCCCTGAGTATTAAGTAGGGATGAGAAGTAGGGGTGATGGGGTTGCAGGCCCCCCCCCCCCGCCCCGCCGCCATCTGAATGTAATAGGAAGCCTCTGTGGGCTGTGGGCCCCTGGGGAGCCTGGGGATGAAGTGACACACATGGCGGGGGAGGGGAACCTGAAAGAGCCCAGGACAGGACCTGAGCCCCCAAGCCGGGCAGGGGAGCGGGCGCTGTCCATGGTCCTGGTGTCTGCAGCTGCCTTCAGCTGCCCCAGAAAAGGTCCAGAGAAATCTGGGGTCAGCGGATGGACTTCCTTGGCCTGCGGACGGCATGGGATGGACAACACCCTCTCGGGGTCTTTGGGGTTAATCCAGGGATTGGGCGATTTCCCTGGAAGAGCAGGACCCTTTGCAGAGCTATGGGTTATCTGCCAGCAGCCAGACACAGGACCGCAGGGAAGAAGGCACAGAAACCCCCCCACCCCCCGCCCCGGGTTCCCGCAGGAGCCTGACATCCTCAATCGCCTGCTCTGCCCTGCCCTGGAGACCCCCAATCTAAAGCCTTCCCTTTCCTCCTGTTGGGGGTTCCCCCAACATGATTCCAGCCACCCCAGCCCTCTCCTCAGTCTGTGAACACCCTCTCCTCCTGCCCCTCAGGATTCCAGGGTTCATACGACCTGAGAGGCCCGGGAGGGTGCCGGGCTTGGACCTCAGGCTAGAGAGGAGGTACTTAAACCCAACCCCCTGGAAGTTCAGCCCTGTCTGCCCTGGCCAGGCCCTCTCTGCTTGGGTCCAGTCCATGCCCAGACCCCACCTGTGGCCGTGCCCCGAGTGTGGGTTCGCCCCAGCACCCACTATTCCCTCGTGCTCTCTGCCACCCCACCCTGGGCGGGGAGGCACATGGACACCCACTGCTCAGCGGCACCTGTCCTCCTCCCCGCCCCCCTTCCCCTCAGCCCAAGCAGCTGGCAGCAGGGAGCTGCCCACACTGGGCTCTGGGGCCCCAGGGACTAGCGGAGCCTGACGGTTCCGGTTCCGCGGAGTCTGGTCTAGGCTCCAAGGCTGGGGCAGGGTGACTGGTGTGGTGCTGCCCTCAGGCTGCCCTTCCTCCACGCGGCAGCACCACCCGTCCCCCCCTCCAGTGCCCTTTGGAGGTCTTGAACCTTTAGCAGAGGACACCCTCTTGCCAATCTCGGGGTCCTGCCGTGAGAGACAGGCTGGCACACAGCCTGGAGGAGGGAAGCAAGCCGACAGTGGGGGTGGGGAGGTGGCACAGGAGGGGGGAGGGGTGGGGGCGCGGACCAACCCAGGGTCCAGGGCGCTAGGGGTGTCGCTCCAACGCCTGGGGAGCTCACTCGGCCGCCTGGGGAGCGACCCCTGGGGGGGAGGGCCCAGGGGCAGGGGAGGCTCCTGTCTGCGCCACCTGGACAATTGCTGGCCCCTTCCCACCTTCCACCCCACTGCTGGTTCCTCTCCAACCTGGAAGAACCCGTCCCAGGTCACACACCCCTCCCCACTTCCACCGGGGCCCCCACTCCACCCCTTTCCCAGCTCCGCGACACTGAGGAAGCTCGAGCTGCCCCTTCTACCGCCGGGGACAGGCGCCCTGGAAACCGACCTCGCCCACCCCTGCGCTGGCCCCCCTCGGGGGAAAAGACCCCTCCCCCCGCGCCACCAGGGGAGAACTTTACCGAAAGGGTCTCAAGGTGACCAGGCATCTTCTGACCATTATCTTCCCATCGGGGTTGACTGTGATCATTGTTCAAACTTGTCTGGGCGAGGGGCCGGGCGAGGTCGGGCGCGCGGCCCCGGGCCCGC